CACAGGGCAGGCTTTTCTTTACAGGAAGCTGCTTTGGTAGCAGAAGCTGCATAGCTTTGTTAATGCATCACTCTTTAATTTACTTTCTTTCTCACTGATGAAACTAGGCAAGTTATTTTGTATTTCTGTATGGAGGATTATGCAGCAGTCATCTTTAAAATGTCTCAGTGTCTTTAAGTGTAATTTGCAGTACCTAATGCTTGGCGTTAGGATTTAAGATTTTCTTAACATTTTATTTCTATTCCACTTCCCTACCTGCAAATTCCCTACATACATTTTGTCCAGAAATTTTATGATTTCTAAGAACTCGTTGCCATTTGCTTACAAAATAAATAATGTATGAAAATTGAGATTGTATGAAAAATACGAAGCATTTCACCCACATTTTATAAACAAGGAGACTAAAGACAAAGCTAGCACTAAAAACGTAAAGATATTATAGATTCAGTATTAAATCAGTTTGTGTCACTTTGATTTATCCTACATTTAAAAAAAATTAAGCTGAGATTAATTAATATAGTAGAAGAGCACAAATTACTCAAAGCACATCAGTCATTTAAATTGGATTTTCATCTATTTTGCATCACCAGAGCAGTGCAAAGATGCTGAAGCACAACAGCATGCCCAGCCCCTACTTTGGCTTAGGGGACCCCTGTTAGCCATGGCCCGGGTTTGTGGTGGTTGGGCAGGAGCAGCAGTCCAGACCATGAGATCATTGGTTGTGTACTTTAAGTGTTCTCGTAGGTCCCTGCCACAGTTACACTGCATGGCTGCTTCCTTTGTGCACATTAGAAGCAGCAGCAGCGCCAAGGGAAACCTTCTGAAAGCAGATATTCAACTTCAGGTAGAGACACCCACTTTTATCGGGCAAGAGGTCTCTGAAGCAATAGCCTGCCCATGGGATTGGCTTTCACACAGCCCCATGGCTCAGTCCCACTTGGCAGCACCTGCTGCAGTGCAGAGCTGACAGGCTCCATACCTTGGGAGAGGGGTAGCACCCCTCAGGAGCCTGCAAAGCCACTCACACAGGCCTGCTTACAGCCTGCATCATTATAGCCATTAGCTATAACCATAAATAGATAAACTTAATTACGACTTAATCTATTCATTTGTTTTTATACCCTATGCACAAGCTTTTAATTAATTAACAATATGGAAAGTCTGATCACATTATTTCATTACCAGGACTACTTAGGACAAACAAGAGGTCAATAGAAATGCTAAATTTCATTTTCAACTAATTTTAAGCCAAGCTAATTGTCACATTAATTTTATGTTCTTAGAGAATTCTTTATATATTCACAGAGCAAGCGCTACAAAATACGGTGAGGATGTATTTTTCATTAAGAACACCAAACTTGAGACACTGGTATGAGTGCAAAATAAATCCATAGCTGACAGCATGGAGATGTGATCAGAAGAGAGCTAATGGAACTGCAACCAATACCTCCGTAAGAGCTGATACATCTTTATATACTAGACCTTGTGAGTACCCACAGGAATCCCCATATGCTAAGTTTTTAAAGACGTGTGTGAAGCATACAAGAAAGTGGTTTCATTCACTCAATACAGGAGTAGAAAAAGGTCTAATCTCGTTAATCTTGCTGCAATCTTTTTTCAAGCTTATGCATTTTTTAACGATAGAAAGTTTATATACATATATATGTTTGCTGCTTATATATGCATGCATAAAGGTACAAACACCTATATGCCATTTATTAGTGGAAAACCATTCTCATACATCATTTAAGATTGGCTAGAGTCAGACTGACATCCCTTCTATACTGTCTTTGTAACAATGCCACCTGGTCCCTTCTTCCTTCAAACTGTTGGGATTACAGCACCTGAGGCCACCAGTGTTTTTTGTTTTTGTTTTTGCTTGTGAAAGATTTCTCAAATTATGTGTTTCTACTGTTCTCCACCTGACCACAATTTGCTGTGGATTGTTCCAAGTTGTGCCCATGGCTGGTTTCTGGATCTTTGGGTCCAAGTTGTGCTTCTGTAACTCTCTAGTCTCTTATATTACACTTGTGATGGACTCAAGTGTGGCCTGGCAGTGAGGTCAGGGAAACTCTACTACAACAATTTCATCAATACCGATGCTCCCCAGGCATGATTCAACCTCAGAAGCACTCCTTGTGCCACATCAATCCAACTGTTCCAAATCAATTCAACTTTATGGGAGATTTAAACTTTACTTTTGAAACTATGCCCACTGTTCAATACACACACTCACATAAAATGAACTTTATAAAAAGGAATTACTAGTGATGCTAATCCCAGCGTGCAGAGTTCATGGATACATATCCTTCACATGCAGCTTCCATTTTATGTTCAGTATATACTTCTTGAAAAATGCTGTAGTTTGAAAATAAAACATTTTATCTTCTGTTCATGGTAAGGAGAGACGATTAGGATGGAAATTTTTGCTGTTAATCAGACTTCGTTTTCAATCGATAGTGAGGGAGTTAATTTTCAGCAGACTGCTTTTCAGTGCCTCTTTGAAATGAGTTCATGGGTTTGGGACAATTTTTTGTTTGTAAATGTTCACCTGGAATAACAAGAAAGACTATTCTTGTCTATATATTTCAAGAGAAAGACCAAGGGTTTGAGATGGCCTTAGAGTCCCAAGCAGCTCTTCTCAATTAGTTTTAGACAAAGTGAAGGGACCCAAACTGCCAGTGCAGGACCTGCACTGCTGTGAGGACACTGCCAGCACCTGCTCAGGCACAGGGCGTGCCTTTGTCACATATGAAGGCTAAGGAGCACCTAATGAAATTATCTGACGGCAGGTTCATGGCAAACAAAAGGAAGTACTTTTTCACACAAATCATAATTAAATTGTGGCGCACACTGCCACAGAATGTGGTTGAGACCAAAGTATAAATGGATTAAGAAAAGGGAGTAGAGAAAGTCAGGGGCTTATTAAATATGACGGCCTGGAAGCAAGCTCCAGTTTAAGAAATCCCTGCACTACAGTTTGCTTGAACTTGAAAGCATAGTAGGAAAAAGAATCACTGCATACCAGTTCTGTTTCTTATGCTTTTCTCCCTTCGGTATCTGCTAATGACCACAGTCAGAGCCAGGATATTGGACTGAATGTCCAACTCACTACTGCAATTCATTTGATCGTATGCTTTTAATCAAATTATTTTCCTATTTTGGCTACTTGGAAGGATCTAAGGCCTTGATTGAAAAAGGCATTCACTGTCTGACTCTCACGTATTTTACAGAGGTAAATACTTGCACCTCTCATAGCCTTCAGCTATGCAAACTTACTGGGGTGGAGCATGTGCATCTTTTATTAGGACTCTGCTTATTATGAGTACAGAATCAAATTAAAATAAATATTTGATAACAGGGATAACAGTGTGTAATACCATCTCTTTATAAAGGTCAAATAATTTGTTTGCCTAACTGGCTTGGGTCTCAGGAAGATTCTCCAGTGATTTACGTAAGGACGGTGACACTCGCATCCGCTGATTTGAATGGGGATTATTTTCCTTTAAAGAACTCCCAAAATTTGCAATGCATGTATATATTACATTTGTGGAAAGCTATTTATCACCTGTTACCTACAATAGCATTGCCAAACGATATACAGCTCATTCACATTTACCTAGCAGGGTGTTTGAGATTTCATCCATTTTGCAAAAGCTGCAAACCTATACCATGCATCAGTGATACAGAATCAAGGACCCCAAATATTGAAAATCCTAAATGCCTCTGACAGTTCTCAGTCAGGCAGCGTGGGTAGGGTTTCCCTAGGAATCAACAAGAGGCAGCTATGAATTGTGCAACACAGCCTTGACAGACGAGCAAGCGAGGTAACCTCAGCCTTCTTAACTGCGGGTGCTTTCATCCCGGGGAGAAGTGAGGAGCCGCGGGAGCAGCGGCAGCAGCAGCACACAGCGGCTTTCGGTGGCTAGAAGGGCGGTAGCATCCCCCGCCCCGCCGGCAGCCGGTGTTTCCCCGGGCGCAGGGAAGCCCCGCGCCGCCGTGCGCTGTGCCGGTGCCAGCACCGGGAGCAGCTCCTGCCCCGCCGGCCGCGCCCGCCACCTGCTCCTGCCGCCGTGCCGCCCCCGCCCTCCGACATTTCCCGGGGAGGAAGGAGGCCGGGGCCGGCGGATGGCGATGCCGCAGGGCAGAGCGGGCGGGGGCGGCGGGTGCCGCCCGGGTGCCGCGGAGGGCGGTGCGGCCCCGAAGGGCGGCGGCGGGGGCTCCCCAGTGCGAGACTGGGGAGGAGGGGTAGGAAAGCAAGCTCTTGTGTTCAGAGCAGCCTCACACCGGCTCCTCGGATTGAAATATTAATTGCACTAACAGAAATAATCATTCCCTCCTTCCCCTCCCTCCTCCCGCCAAGTAGACCCGCTTTACAAGAGGGAAGGTCAAGCAAGAGGAAAGGCAGGAGGAGCGCTGCCTCACCGCGAGCCGGCGGCTGTCACCCCGCCAGCGCGTGCCCACGGCTTTCCCGGGGGCGGCCCGCTCCCCCCGCCCGGGACTGGGCGGCATCGCCCGGCGCGGCGCATCCCCGCGGCATCGCCCGGCAGATCCCCGCGGCACCCCGGACGCAGGCAGGGGGCTGCGGAGGAGGGAGCGGGCAGAGCCGGCGGGTACGGTTCCCCACCCCTTTGTGCACCGCGGGCACGGAGCCGCGCACACACACGCACACACACACAAACACCACCTTGCAGCCTCACTGCAGCCGCCCGTTGTTGCACACACATACGCACACTCACACTGACATACAGCCGGTCCCCTCGCTGAACGCATTTTCGGCTGCACTCCGCCGCCCTCCATCCATCCTCTTTCCCTCCCTCTCTCTCGCCTCCCTCCCTTCTCTTCCTATTAACCCCCCCCCCCCCCGCATTTTGTTGTCTTGTTTTCTTTTCTTTCCTCTTTTTTCTTTTCCCCCCGCTCCGCGCATCACTCCAAAGCAGACATTTTGATGCCATTTCAACGCGGTGCGGGCTCAAACACAAGCGGAGCGCCTTACCCACCCCCGCCCGGCTGCGTGCAGTTGGCGCTCAGCGATCCCGAGAAGGGCTGCGGCGGTTCGTCTCTAGCGGAGCAGGGCTGTTGCCATCCGCCCAACTTCAGCACCCACAGCCGGCACGGAGCGGAGACGGCGGCGGGCGGGGAGGAGGGCGGCTGGAGGGAGGAAGGGCGGGAGAGAGGCAGGCAGGCAGGGGAGGGTGCGAGGAGCGGAGGCTGGGAACCTCCGCACATGCGCTCTGCCACCGCAGCCCGGCGGCAGCGGGAGTTTCCCCGCTCGGCCCCGGAGGGTGAGTCACGGCCCGGTCCCTCTGCGCTCCCGCTCAGTCTTAGCTCTTGTCCCACGTTGATGTGTCCAAACAGGGGGAAAAACAAATATGGACAAAGGTTTATAGAATGCTGTCCAAGTCTTGTAGTATAGGCGAGAAGAATGCAGCGCTGTAGTGCCTGAACAACTTTTGGATGTCAGGCACCTGAAGCACAACGCCTGATTAAAGAACCGGCATGGATTTGTCAGTGGCGACCGCACGAATCAAGAGCAGGGTGTTGTGAAAATCCGGCTGCAAATCCCGAATCCTGCCAGACATTGCCACTTATTTTTCTCCTGGCTTTCCAAAATCAGCTTACCAAATTTTTGCTCAACAGAGAGCGTGATTTAGCCTCCCTTCTACACCTTACAAATCTGGAGCCTGATACGCCTCAAGGCAACAGCATTGGGTTTTTATTTGGCATCTGGATCCTGTCAAATCACGATACAAATCCAGAAATGTTAATATCTCAAGAGATAATGCATTGCTGCATTTACCACCTGGCCAAAGCAATCTTGCAAGGTGCTACAGGAAGGCTAAGGGATGGATTAAGGTGGTAGCACACCTTGCTGTCAACCCCTATTAATTCTCTTTACAGCACTGATCTAGACGAATGTGTATCCCATCGAGATCTCAAAACAGATTGCTTCAAGACCTGAGCCCAGAACTGCATGTATGGTAGGGCTGAAATTAAAAGGACTGGGAGCAGTCCAGAAGGGAAACCATCACTTCTATTTGCTTCTATCCTGATTCTCATGGTAGTGAGGTCCAAGAACTGGAAGGGATAACTCCGCTTGATACCAAAGGTGGTTAAGTTTGTTAAGTGAAGACACTTACCTTATGTTTCCATCTCTTTAAGTTCCCAGAGTTAATTTTTTTCATTCTGTCTCTTCTGTAGCTTACAGGTGCTCATAGCTTGTCTCCTGGCAAGTAGACCCCTCTGTGCCTGGTCTATCTACAGCCTTCTCTTGAGTTGTTCAGCCAATTAAAAATAACAGAAGTAAGAGCAATGGATATTTAGTTTTGCTTTTAAGTTTTTGTTTATTGCTTGAAGAAGACCTTTAGGGCCTGATTTTTTTTTCCCAACTGTGCCAATTGTCTTGATAAAATTGTGCCTGCACATAGAGTCTTGCCCTTGGATAATCAGACCACTCCATATAAGGATGTTGGTGTAACTTGACAATAAACAACCAAGTGAATGGCAATTTGGAAGCGTTTGTGGAAATTTTTCTCACATTCTGTTTTCTTAAAAGTAGTGCTGTGAAGAGTCTTCTTTTTTTAAAAAAAAAAATAATAAGAATTAGGAAGTGTTAAATGTTTTGAATGTGCTTCTAACTCATCTTCACTGTTCACAGAGAGTTAAACAAAAGTTAAAACTTCCTTGTCTTTAGGCAGTTCACACCCCAGGTCGAAGTAGGTTATCCCACCTGTCTAGAATATAGCAAATGTAGATTTGGTTTTCTGATTCTTCAGAAAAAATCATAGAATATCCCAAGGTGAAAGGGATCCATAATGATTATTGAGTCTATCTCCTGGCTCCACATAGGACCATCCAAAATCCAAATCTGAGGGTGGTGTCAAAGACTTCTTGAACTCTGGCACTTAGGGACATGCACACTGCTCTGGGCAGCCTGTTCCATGCCCACTCCCTCTGGTGAAGAATCCTTTCCCTAACCCCCAGCCGTCCCTCCCCTGCCACAGCTCCATGCCATTCCCTCCAGTCCTGTTGCTGTCACAGAGAGCAGAGCTCAGCACTGCCCTGAGAGAAGCTGTAGGCCCTTCAGCCTCTTCTGCTGTGGGCTGAAGAGAATACAGACCCTGGGAGACATTCAGAAAAGAGCATGCCTTGCTGTCAAAAATTCAGAGCATCACAGATAGATGTGCTGCCCAGTGCTAGGAAACACTGTTCAGAAGAGCCACCTTTTTAGGAAATATTCCTGAGCCTTGTTTAACTTACAGCTCATATATTGAAGCTTGTTGACTTCATTTTGAAGGTGGTAAGCCTTCAGAGCCTGCTTAATCTTGGGACAACAGTTTTGTTCTGACAAAAGCTATGAAATTCTTTCAAATTCTTTCAATTCAAAGCAGGTGTCTTCTCCTATAGATTTTCATTCATAGGAAATTCAGAAACTCAATCTAAAGGGTGAGTGAATAATGCATATAAATAAATGAAATAATTTTGTCCACATACCAGAAAAAAATAAGTATCTCAATTTTAAAATTTCATATTAGAAAACCCATGTTTCAATTATTTAAATGAATAAAAGACTTCAGCTTTCTGTAACTCTTATAGTATATTCTCCATAGCCATTCCAATTTGCTATAGTTTCCTGCCCTGAACCCATTCCTTGTTGTTCTTTAAACTCCTGTTTATAAAAACACTTAACTTCAAAAGCTGTTCAGCCGCTCTGTTCAGACCACTGGCTAATCCTTGTGCCTATTGTAGACCCATGTGTTCAATGACTTTTTTTTCCAGGCCTGTCTATCTTTTCTCCCTAGCTCCTGTCTCTAGTTGCATGCTTCTTTGCATTTCTTAACCCAAACAATTTTCCAATTACCATCTATTCACTGCTTTTTTAATTAAAATCTGTTGTTGATTTTCCAGTGAATTGTCACTGACTTTTTAGACAAATGGGATGAATGGAGCAGTGCATTATAGAAGAACTTCTAAAATTGTAGAACACTGTGTACACAAGAAGGCTTTCTAGTACAAAGTTTGCATGTAAATAAAAAGTATAAAGTTAGTAAAATACACCGGCTTTGTGATCCTTGACATCAAGACTCTTATTACTTTAATGGAAATCCTGATGATTATTGGTTGACAGTATACCTTCAGTGAATTTCATGTTTTACCTGTACAATACAGAATATTTATTATTTGTCATGGTTGTGAACTCTTCAAGATTACATTCTGTAGTCTCTGCACCTCTTCAACTTAAGAAAAATCACTTGCTGTAATTAAATCATTATTCAAAGCTTAAAATTAATCAGAAATTCATGACCTTGTTTCATTTCCTCAGCATAGGTTCAGTGTGACACAAAATGTATTATTTAAAATGTGTCAGAGCCTCTGATAGTATATATTTTTTTTCTCTGTAAAAAGCAGTATTACAACATCTTACATGGGTCCTGTTAGCTAGGCAATGAACTGGAAAAATGCGTTGCAATGACAGAGGTGACTGGATATTTATGGATTGCCACATGCAAAACTTGGATCTTTCTTATGCATGCCCATGCAACACCATGATTTTTTACAGCCATGAACCACCACCACCATGGTTTCTAATGCTTTTTGATACTATTTATATTTACTATTTATATAATATGCATATATATATATATAATATATATATAATATATGTATATATATATAAAATATAAAATATAATGTGTATATATAATATATAATATACTATTATATATTTTATTATATTATATAATTATATATATTTATTATATTATATATATAATATATAATATACTATTTATATTTTTGATACTATTCAAGTTCAAAGAATTAAGTAGTCCCAGCTTCTCCTTCTTGCCACAAGCACTTAAGTTGAAGAAGTTGATTGTTTGGATAAAAGATGGATTGCAAAGGTGCGTAGAACTGCAGCATTTTAGTGTTACAAAGATTCATTTTTGCAGCAGTAATAAACTGAACAAATCTGGAGCCTGTTTTTGAGAGTCCAGTTCCAGATTTCCCCAAGCAATGCCTATAATTTGTCTTTTCGTATACAGAAACAAAGGCTTCAGAATTCCCCTTATTAAAGAACCGCTCTTTGCAGATGGCAGTGCACTTGTAGCTCTCCGTGCAAAACCCAGAGATAATGACATCTTGTTTTGCAGCTGTTTCTGTTAACTTTGGCTGAGCAATCAGTATTTCAAAGGCTGGTATTATGTGCCAACAGCCACCAAGCCCCTAAAGTCTGTTGACTCAAATGGGAAAAAAAATGTCACTGGCACTGAACTGAAGAAACCCAACTGAACTACAGTTCTCATGTCTTAGATCGCTTCCTGTGGACATGACCTGTCATGGTGGCCCCTTCACCAAATATATTCCTCCATTACAAGCTACACAAAGACTCCTTGCACTATTCCTTGAGAAAAATGCATTTTATCCCCCTTCTGCATGTGCTAGAGTGAATGGATTTTAAAAGGTTGCTTTGCACAGAAGTGGGAGATAGAGATTTATATCAGTAATCAAACGATCTGAGCAGTTTATGGTGAAACAATTCTGCTTTTTAAAGGGAAGTGAACAGAAAGGACCAAGAGACAGTAAGTAATTTTTTTAATGCTAATAGTCACAAAGTCACTTTATCTCCCAAGAAATAACACTTGGGTGGCAAGAGTTATGTACTATTTTGAATCTATCTGTTTTTAGCAAATGTTAAGCCCAGAGTTATGAGTTTTGATAGGTGCAAAGTTGATCGTCAAGATCAAGAAGGCACAGCTCATTAAGTACTGATTCTTACTTGGCTTGCTGATCCACCGACTGTGTTCCTCTAATTTGATGTAATCCTAAACCTTTGTTTTGTATCAATAAAAAGAGAGAATCAAACTTTATAATTTTATCCTGAGTCAAGAAAGCCTTTGAACACATAGTATGTGAGACTTAAATATACAATTTAAGATAATTCCATAATTAAGAGGTTGAGAAGTATTAAAAATATTTCGTTTTTTTCTCAAATGAGAATTTGTGCTTTCAGTTGTGCTGTACATAGTTTATAATTTCATATATCTTAATTAAGTAAAATGAAAGCACAAAGACTTCTGCTTTGTACATTGTTTTTACT